AGCCTCTCGGAACCCAGGCCCCCGCGGAGCGCCGGGAACCTGCTGGGGATAGCAGCCTTGACTGGCTGGGGCAACCGCAGACCCACCCCACCCCAGAGCTGGCCAACACCCACCCCAGGGGCCAAGCAGGTGGGCCTGCAGGGGAGGGTTTGCGAAGGCATCTGAATGACTGGGAGTCTCATTCACCCTGAGCCCGTGACCGGATACCTGCAACTTACACAGAAGCAAGCTGGCATTTTCGCTCCCCTCTTTCTCTTAAGGAACCACCGATTTTCATCAATTTTCTTTTTCTGCCATTTTCTGCAATAATTACAGCCAGTGTTAACAGGACGTCTTTGTAGTGCCTGGGACTGCACATTTGGTCCCATCTGAAGTCGGTTCCGGCTTGTAAACCACAGAAATGTGTTTCACGGTTGCGGAGGCTGGAAGTCCACGGCCAAGGTGCCAGCATGGTCTCCTGCGGGGGAGGCCCTCCTCCTGACCACGCCTTCTATCTGTGTCCTCACAGCTGGGAGGAAGGGGGCACTCTGGGGTGGCTGACCCCCTCAGGGGGCTCCGCCCTCGTGCCCAGATCACCTCCCAGAGGCCCCACGTCCTACTGCTGTCATCTTTGGGGTCAGGGTTCCGCAGACATTTGGAGCACAGGAGTCCTTCCAGCCACCTTGCTGGTGTCCGGCCGTTCGGCCATTCTGTGCTTGGGACAGCAAGGCCTGGAGGTGTGTGGGGGGGTCAGATCGCGTTCATGGAAGCACCCACTCCCGAGTCCAGAGCTTTCCAGGACGTCCCACAGCGTGGTAACGCCTTGTCTTCTGTGAGGAGCACAGAGAACGTGCGCCCCAGTGATGCCAGGTTCACCCGCTGACTTGTCGTCAGCAGCGGCGCTCTGCTGGTTTCCTGGGAACCCACAGTGTGTCCGGGGCCCTCTGGGCCATGGCAGCTTGAGCGTCTTCGTGTTGCTGTGTGGCTCCTGCTTTCTGGGTCCCGGCAGCTTCTCTCTGCTCAGAGCCATGGTCACGAGACCCGGTCGTGACGTGGGAGGAATTTCATACTTGGGTTGTGAGCCCGCTCAGCTGAATTTCCTGGGCGTCTGTCCTGGAGGCAGTTCGTAGGCGCGTGAGCAGGTGTCCTCGCCTCAGACCAGATTTAGCAGCTGCAGTAATATTTGGGCCAGAGGCATCGGCCAGGATGGAAGCGTTGGGTCCCGAGCCTGCCGGCCCTCAGCGAGCCCCACCTGCCCTCTGCCTTCCCTGGAGAAGGGGTCCCTCTGGCCGGGTCCCGCTTCCTGAAAGCAGATCCATTCTTCTCTCACCGTCTCCGTCGTCCAGAAACGGCTCACCGAAGAGAATACCCGAGTCTGGAGGAGTCTGCCCAGGGACGATGTGTCCTGTCCAGTCCTGTGCCTGGACCGTGGCGTTGACCCTGCCCGCCGCTCGGCACCCAGGCCTTCCACCCTCACACCCACGCGATGCCCTGGATTCCCTCCCTGATCGGCAGAATGAAGCGAAGAGGACAGTAGCTGGGGTTGGCCTGTGAGTGGGGCGGCCCTGCCCATTGCTCTCTGGAAGGGCCCAACATCTCCTGCCCGTGTGACCCTCCCTCGGCTGCAGGAAGCCGGCAGGTGTGTGCGGAGTGGACAGGCGCCCATGGTGAGGCTCCGGTCACCCTGTGCCTGTGCGCTCTTGTCCCTTCTCACTGCCCAGCTGTTCCTGCCATTCAAGATGTTTGCTGTGCACCTCCTCTGAGCTCGGAGGTCTAGACCCTGGGAGGAAGGCAGTGGACAAGCCCCAGTCCCCGCCTGAGTAGAGCTGGTTCTCACTGGGCAGATGGGCTGGGGGGAGGGGTCTCTTGGCCGGTGTCTGTTCAGTGAGCACCGCGAGTCAGAGCAATTGTGGCAAGGACACAAGTCGTGTGTTCCCGATTTGTTCCTTAAATGCAGCAACGCGCGCGCACACACACACACACACACACGGCTCATCTTACTTTACTTACTTTCAATAGTAACCATGGAAAAACAGCTTTGATTGGAAGACAGATAAATAAAAGCACAGTGTATTTCTTCCTGTCTCTTCTGAACTCTGTTTCCAGATGTGTCCTGTTTTGGACCGAGCTGGGCAGAGGTGCCTTTCTTTTGTCTGGGCTCGGGCGGGAGTCAAGTTGGTTCACACACTTATGGTCGGATTAGCACTGGGTTGACGTGGTTCCCAGCCGGACCTAAGGGTTGGCTGTAGACGTCTCCTTTGTCCTGAGGCCAGGCAGCGTTTTGCTGGTGTTCAGCACCATGAATACACACGGGGCCAGTCTGTGTATCTGTGCCGGTTGTTTGCACGCATGCACGTGGAAGGCTTGGCCCTGAGTGGTCCACACTGCAGACAAAAGTAGATATCTTGCTCTGAGCCCGAGTAGCAAATAGACTTTCTCTGCGCTTGACGACAGAGCTCTGCTTGCTTTGCTGAGCTCGTTTCTTAGAGCGCTGCATGTCGCTGTCTCTCGGAAAGACTCTGCAGGCAAGGAGGAAGCCAGTGTTTCCGGTGGCAACAGCCCAGGGTACTGGCCACCGAGGGGCTGAATTATCTTTTTGGTACAGAAACAGCATTTCAGTTTGTGGAAGTCTGAGAAGTCACAAATACCCAAGAACAGCTTTTGAACAGTTTTTGAGAACTTGCAGTATTTGGATCACTTGAAGAACACTAACTTTTCAGTGATTTAAAGACCTAGGTTTGCTGACCTTATTTTCCAGTCTGGAGGAGATTGCTCATGAGAAGCAAAGGCTTAAAATGATAAATCCAAGTTTAAAAAAATAATGGGTTCGGTGGAAAGATGTGTAGAAGTTGCGATAGAATTAAATGGAGACAAATGGATAGTCCGGAAAGTCTGGATTTAAAAAATGAACTCCCTGACTGTGGTGCCGGGAAGCTCTGGTTAGCGTCCCCTTCCATAGGTGGGACTGGCCGACCGGCTAGTGACCTCACGTGGAGTGTGGGCCGCCTGTGTCGGGCGTTTAAAATTGACATGGCAGGAAACACACAGGCTACTGCAGCTTGCTCTCCAGACCTTCCCAGGGCTCTGGGCCAGCTGCCCAGCTCTGACCACCAGGCACCTACTGCCCCTGAAGGGAGCCCCTTTCCCTTTGCAGCCTTGCTCCTTCCCCCCACAGCCAGCCTTTCCAGGAAGTTCCCCTGCTGCCCTCAGCCACTCGGCACCAAGCTGAGGTGAGAAGCGCCCTTCACACTCTGCTGTGCCTTCACTCCGGGGAGCTGTGCCACAGGGGGACCCTTTCCCTCTCGTTTCTTTTGTCTGATGCCCTATTCACCCCCATGGCGCCTGGAACCGAATGTTAAACATCTTAGGAATCCACCAAAGTGAGCCAGCTGATTTTAGTAATTTTAGAAAATAATTTCAAACAAAGACATCTGATGGTGAAGATGACCCCTACTGGACGTCTGCCGGGGCCCCGAGTGGGCCCCAGATGGGGCAGCAGTGAGCAGCACCTTGGTCCTCCTGAAAGCCATAAGGAGAAAGATGGGGTCCCGCTGGAGCGGCGCGGTGCCTGCCAGGCAGGAGTCTGTGTGGAGCCCAGGCTGCGCCCCGTCACTGAGCCAAACTCGGGTCTGCTTGCCACCCGAGTGCGCAGTGAAGCCAGCCTGCTGGTGCGGGGCTGTGAGGAAGGAGAGTGCAGCGTCCATCGCAGGCGCCAGACAAGGAGTCCAGGGCAGCTCGTCCAGACTCCATGAGGGGTTTCAGCAAAGCATCTTTCAAGGCCACACGAGGGAGGGGAGACCAGGGCTTGTGGCCCCTCGTGCGCTGTTCTCTGAGTGGCTGATGTGAGCTAACAGGGCGGTGTCGCAGGTCACCAGTATCCAGCCCAGGCTTCCTGGGTCTGGGGGCTGTGTGCTCATGGTCATCAAGGAATTTACTTCTTCCACTTGGTGGGGTTTCAGCATCAGACCCTGTTACCCGGTGCTTCAGAGGGGAGGGAAAGCAGGGGGTCTGTCAGGTAAGGCCCCTCGGGTCCTGCTGACACAGCAGTGATCTGCTCTGGTCTTGTCTCCTCCACCCTCTGCTCCAGCCCCCAGCTCCACAACACCCCCAGCTCCAGCCCCCAGCTCCAGTCCCAGCTCTGTTTCCTGGAGGCCTTTGCCCGGCTGCCCCTTCCCTTTCTGTGGGCTTGGCCAGCGGGAGGATCCACGCAGATGGGGCAGCCTCACTCTGCCCTTGTTACCAGCTCTTTCTGTTAAATAACAAATACAGTAAAAAACACACAGCGAAAATGGGGAGTGGCTGATCATGTGCCAAGCTGGGTTGAACCTGACCACGTGAGGACTGAGCTGAACTTAGTGTTCTGCCCTCCGGCAGCTTTCTGCCTCTTCTGGTTCTGCTCCAGGTCCCTGGTTTCCAGAGCTGACTGTCACCCTCTCCGCGTGGGCTGAGTTGGGTCACTGCCTCCCAATCCGGTCAGCTTGTTCAGGAGGATACTGCGCTCAGGTTGGCGGACCGAGCCTCGCGATCAGCCCGGGTGTGGAGGCAGGGGCCTCGAGGGCGCGAGAGGTGGGGGCCGGGTTGTCTCAGGCCCCCCGCACTTTCGGCGCTGGCGGAGAACACAGGCCTCCCACCACCCCGGCCCTGCTCCCCAAACCACTGCGGCTCCGCAGAGTTGGGGTCCCCTGTCCCACAAGACCTGCGCTTACCCAGAAGACTGGGCCTCACTGAGGCCAGTGGCCTCTGAGGGCAGGTGTGTCCAGAGCCTAGGGCAGGAGCCCTGCTTTCACTGGACGCAGGACCCTTGGTTTCCGTTGGCAGTATGGCTGCGAGTCTGTGTGGGTGGCAGCCTGCTTTCTGGAAAGAGCCTTCCACGCAGCCGGTGCTGGAGTGGCTGTTCCCCTCCAGGCTGGTGGGCCTGGGCTACAGTTTGCAGAATTCTTCCACCCAAACTGCCCTGTGCTCTGGCCCTCCTCGGCCCTGACTGACCCCCCTTCCTTGTGCCCAGGGAACTGCTGGAGACCACGTGCCGCCTGGCCAACACACTCAAGAGGCATGGAGTCTGCCGAGGGGACCGCGTGGCCATCTACATGCCCGCCTCCCCGCTGAGCGTGGCGGCGATGCTGGCCTGTGCTCGGATCGGAGCCATCCACAGCGTGGTCTTTGCTGGCTTCAGTGCAGTGTCTCTGACGGGCAGGATCAATGACGGTGAGCAGCGGGCTTTGGGATTGCGGGGGAAACCTGGGCCCCCCCCGGCCCTGAGGGGCTTCGAGTGGCACAGACTCTACTCACAGTCACACGTACACACGACAGACACCGCCGGGGACAGACTGGCTGAGTGAGCCCGTGCCATGTGAGCTTCCATCTGAGTGGGTGGGACTTGGCTTTGCGAAGAAGGCCGGAAGGCCCCAGGTGGAGGGGAGGGAGTAGGTTCCGGAGGGGCGGGGGGAGCACAGATGTGCGGGGACCTGGAGGGGGCTGTGTGCTGCGGGGCAGGGGGCGCCGAGGCTGGGCAGGTGCGGGGAGGCCCCCCAGGTCACCCGCGGGAAGGCTTCTGTGCTGAGGAGTGAGGGGCGGACCACCTCCGGGACAGGTGTGCAGACCCGTGCTGGCTCCTCCTGGTGTCGGAGTGCTGAGTGCTGAGCGGTGGCTTCAGATCTTGCAGCCTGACCCCTGCTCCTGGAGATTCTAGAGAGTTCTCTGAGCTGGCTCTCCACAGAGGGGGCCGAGTTCTGGGGGCTTTGGGGAGTTCTTCGTGTCTCACAGGAGACCTGCCTTCGGGCGACCGCCCGAGCTCAGGGCAGAGTTCTCAGCCCCCAGCCGAGCACCCTCTTCAGAGCAGACTGGGGCTTTCTGCTCCCTGTCAGCGTCTCCCCTCTTCTTCAGGGGGTGCTGCCACTCCCTTCCCTCTCACTCCCTCTCCCTCTGTAGCGCCCACCACGTGCCAGGCGTCATTCTAAGCAATGTGCGGAGGCCATTCCTTTAATTTGACTTAGTCCCTCTGGGGCCTGAGAGAGCCCTGCTCCCCCGCACCCCCGGTCCCTGGGCGTGCTGGGCCCCAGGTTCCCGCCCGAGGGGCGCACTCGGGCAGGGAGGCCGCAGACAGGTGGGCACCGGGTGAGGCCTGTGCCTCGGAGGCCGGAGCTCCAGCCCCAGGGTGGGCAGGGCCGCTACTTCTCCAGGGCGTCCTGAGCCTTGTCTCTCATCCCCTGGAGAGGGGTCCCTTTCTATCTGCTGGGCCGCCCCCTTCCTCCCGGACGAGGCGTTTCCCTGGACAGTCGCAGCTCCGGGATGTAGGCCTGGAGGGTTGTGGGCAGGCTCTGTCCACCTGACCTGGTTTCCCCAGGGCGACCGACGGCCAAGGTCTGAGGAGCCCAGAGTGTGTGCAGCCGGGGACTGGCGTGCGGGGCTGAGGACACTGCCCTTGGCGGCCGGGTGGTTGGAGTAGCTCTTCAGCCCAGGCGAAGGCCTGTGCTGGCGGGTTCTCAGGCAGCCCACAGGGCCCTGGGCGGGAAGAGGCTGTGAGTGTGTCTCCAGAAAGCACGTGTCAGACGGGGAGCTGGGGGAGAGGGTGGCTCAGGTGGGGTCTCCCCTGGCAGCGGCCCCGAGGCGAGAGTTCAGGTGCAGGCAGTCCCCGTGGGAGGGGGTCTTGCGGAGACTGTGGGCTGTGGGGAGTGAGGCCGGGCGGGGAATCAGCCAGGCCAGCGTCTGCAGCGGGTGCCCAGGGCTCGGACCTGCGGGAAAGCTCTGGGAGGAGACGGGGCCCCGCGTGAGGACGACCCGGAGGGTGGGAGTCGGGTGAGGGCCGCTGGGGCAGGTGGTTCCCCAGCTGGCCCACCGGGGCTCCGCGTCAGCCCTCGGTGCAGAGCTCGGCGCAGGTCCGAGGGCTGCTGTGGGCGGCAGCACGGCAGCCGGACAAGTGTCCCGTGCTCTTCCTTAGGGGCCAGTTGTCCAGCTGCCCAACTCGGCCCCGAGCCCTCCCGGCAGTCCCTGGCTGGGGCGTGCTGGACGGTGGTCTGGCTGGCCCCTCACCTGGGAGGGCCTGGGGCAGGCTGGAGGGAGTGGAATTCTGAAAGCGTTGAACTTCCAGTGCCTTCTCTCCAGTTGCGCCTCCCAGAGCCGGGAGAGGCTGGGACCTGTGCACCGAGCACGAAGGCTGCGGGGCAGGCAGAACCACACTTGCCTCTTTTGCTGGAGGTGGACCTTCTCCGTCCACCCCTGGGCCTGGATGTGTGGCTGTCGGCTGGGGCCCGAGAGCCCGCTGGGGAGGAAGCGTCAGCCACACCCGCGTTTGTTGACAGCCAAGTGCAAGGTGGTCATCACAGTCAACCAGGCGCTGCGGGGCGGGCGCGTGTTGGAGCTGAAGAGGATCGTGGATGAGGCCGTGAAGCACTGCCCGAGCGTCCAGCACGTGATGGTGGCCCACAGGACGGACCGCAAGGTGCACATGGGGGACCTGGACATCCCCCTCGAGCAGGTGGGTTTAGCACACTCGTACAGCGCGAGGGGAGGAGGTAGTTCTTGGGTCCGTGGGGTCTGGGTCTTGTCATTGCGGCTCTTGGTCTGGGTCCCGCAGAGGTGCCCAGGGCTCCCCTGTGGTATCTCATGGGCTTCCCTCTGTGCCCACAACCCTAGAGAAACACTTAATGTGACAGAAATGCTCGGCTCAGTCCTTTGATTTGGAATGGAACCTGGGCAGGCTGGAGAAGGTGAAGTCCGCCCCGGGTCTGCCGCGCCCTGCGGCCCTGGGGCGAGGTGTTCCTGGTGAGGGCGGCGAGGTCACTGCCCCGGACGGGCTGTCTGTCTCTTCTCCTTGCAGGCAATGGCCAAGGAGGAGCCTGTGTGCGCCCCGGAGAGCATGGGCAGCGAGGACATACTCTTCCTGCTGTACACCTCGGGGAGCACCGGGAAGCCCAAGGGACTCGTGCACACGCAGGCGGGCTACCTGCTGTATGCCGCCCTGACGCACCGGGTACGGCCGGCGCCCCGCGGGGCTGCGGGCGG